GACACAAACAAGTCCTAAATGACATATATTGATACATATAGGCATGTAATTAGCAAATCTAACTACAAAAGATATTGGGAAACAACCTAGGATGCAAGAATAACTCACCAAAAGAGTGTTAGAAGAAAGTTAGGAGGTTGAAGGAGTGTTCATGGCTCTATGGTGTGATCACGGCCCAAGAACACATGAAGTGTTCACGACCCAACAAGGTTCACGACCCAAATGATGGGTGGTTCACGACCCAAGATGATGGTTCATGGCCCAAAGATGAGTGGTTCACGGCCCAACTTGATGTTCACGGCCCAAAGATGAGTGGTTCACGGCTCAAAATGGTGAAGAACACTTGAAGATCTTTGTGATTTGGCTAGTGTTTGAAGATCCTAGTAAGCTTCTATGGAGTATCTAAGGAAAGGGGTGTTTTAAGAGTGAAAGATTGAAATGTTTATGGATGATACTTGAGAGAGACTTAAGGGTTCACGGCCAAGGGATGAGAAATGAAGAGAAAATGGACCAATCTCTTATATATAAGAGTAGTTCACGGCCAAGTGAGGGTTCACGACTGTGAACTCATTTTGATGGTGATTCCATCTTGATTGCAACTCATAGAACTCAAGTTAATACTTCCTAACACACAATCCTTGAGTGTACTAGGCTTAGAACTCATTAAAATGACCCTTAACAAGGCTAAAAGGTGATAGAAACAAGTCTGACTTTTGGTTGATTGGATTGACTTACGAGGTAGAAATTCTCGGGTTGTCACACATATGGTAGAAACTATCAAAATAAAAACATGAAATTAGGTCTCAAACCGAAGCCGACCCGATATCAAAAAATGAATCGGTCTAGTTCCGACACCGACCCGATATCAGTCTAAAAAACGACCGAAAGCCAAAATATATACACACAACATTTCTGTGTTAACCGAAAAAGACCGAGAATAATCCCAACAAGACTGGTTTGAAAAAAGTCCAGAACAAGAAGAAAACCTCTCGAGACCGACATTGGTCCATAAAAAGACATGATTGTTCCAAGACCGGTTCCAAAAATACAATACCATATTACGAATGGACACGAACCGATCCATTTCCAAGACTGGCCCAGTCCAAAACAGTCTAGATAAATGTGTAGACTTGCACAAAAAGACTGGTCTCATATCAGACCCAAAAAAAGACTGAGACCGAACCGGTTTAAAACGAGACCGGACCGAAAAATGACGAGCTCGAGACTGTCCCAGACTGGATCGTTCCGAGACCGAACGAGACTGGTCTGGAAAAAAAGACCGGTAACCAAACTTTATAAATATATAATTTTTGTGTTAATTATACAAATTTTAGTCACAAACTATCTACTTTATTTCATTTTTTTATTAAATTTAAATTATCATTTTTAATAAATCTTAATTTATCATTTTGGTGATAATCTCATATTTGCTAATGGAAAAAACTCGAAACCAAAACAAAAGAATCGAAAAATATTGAAATCGAACAAAAAAACCCATAAATCGATCCGAAAAAGGCGCACAGAAAGACCGAGAGTCGAGACCGAAAAAGACCGGTCTAAAAAAAGACCAGTCCGAAAAAAGACCGGATCAAAAAAAGACCGAACGGGACCGATTTGAAAATAAACCGGACCGTTCCGAAGTCGACCTCAAAAATCGGACCGTTTCGAGACCGACTTAAGACTGGTCTGGGACTGCGATATACAACTCTATGAATGTGTATGAAAGATATTATATATAGAATTTGGGCCAAAATATAATTTAATAATTTATGCATAGGGCCCCGGTGCTTTTGGGCTTTTGGCCCAAGTTACCAAAAAAGAAAGCGTTACGAGTGGAGTTACGCCTATCGCTTCTCTTCTCTCCCGTTACCATCTCTCAATCGGAGCTCTTTCGTCGATCTCTCTCAGTCTCGGTCTCTTCACGTTCGATCTATCATCTATGTGCAATCACTGACTCTCACGCTCGCCTTTCGCCTCTCTAATATCAACTCTCAAGTAAGTTTAACCTAATTTCATGTTTTTATTTTGTAAACCCTAAATACCTTTCATCTAATTAGCTGTTGTTCGTTGGCTGCTCCCATTGCTAAGTATTGTCATTGTGTGTATAAGCTCTAAATGCTTTTAATTTTTTAATTTTTTTTTTACTTTGCCAACTGTTTGAAAGATCAGTACGCTTATGAATTTGGGAATTTTGTGTATTCAATTGTTATTTTGTTGATTACTTGTATTTGGATGATTAGTAATGTGTATATAGCTGCTCTACATACCTCTTCCCCATCAAATGTGTTTGAATCTATACTCAGATGTTATTAGAACTATAACAAACAGATACAAGACATTATATTCTATAAAATCATTTTTTATTATGCACTTCCAACTTTATTTTATTGTAACGTTACTTTTTGTAAAATCTACTCAACTATAGCAGTGAAATTATTTTGTACTTGGATGACACTTTTATGATTGGATAGATTTTTTCAAACTACCATGTTGTAATAGGAAGAAACAAAAATCTCATGGTATATTAAACAAATCAATAAAGGCATATTGTTATTTCTTGTATTTAACCTTAAATTTTTATATTATAAGCCAAATGAGCCTAATTTGGAGAGTTTTTTATGCGAATATTATTTCAAGGTTTTGTTGTAGTAAACTAGAGGAATAAAGATTTTGTGTCCCATGAAACTTTCAACCTTTTATTTTTTCGGTATCTCATTAAATTTGCTACATTTATTCTTTAAAAACTTCAAACTATTGTAATCTCTTACAAATTTTGTATGGATATAAAACGGAGTTAGGTTTTTACAAATATGTGTTAATGCTAAATGCAAGAAATAACTATGTAGTTTCATTTATTTGTGTATTATAGCATCATATTTTCAATTTTTTTTAATTACGACATTGTATTTTCAATTATTTTGTTCTTTAGGCATTTTTTTGGAAAATCTACCTAATTATAGCATTGTGCTATGAAGGAGTGAAAGTAGGATGTTATAATAAATAAATAAATCAATGAAAGTACATTACTATTTCTTGCATTTAGACTTAAAAGCTGTATTTTTTAATTGCTATTTCTTTTTTGTTTCTTATTGGGCTAATATCAAGAAATAACAACATATTTTCATTTATGTGTATAATGAAAGTACATTCCTATTTATTGCATTTACAAAATACATGTTATTTTGCAGGGACTCTATTCTCGACAACACCATGCCTAGATTCTTAACTAATTTAGCAACAAAATTAAAACTTTCACAACCAAATTCGTTAAAATTCACAAGTCCAATTCATTCCATCACCCAAAAGGAGTTCGAGAGAGGCCCCACCACAGGCCCCACCGGATTCCCCAACACTTCAAATCAACAACCCCTGGTCAACCCTAACCGAGCCGGTGGTGGTGGCTACTTTGACGGTCTGAGCCGGAGATTCTCCGGCTCAGACCGTCAACCCCCGATTGAACCGCTTCGGTTCAATCGGGGCACTCGTGACATGAACTTTGTCCGAGGAATAATGAAAGACAATCCTTCAACTGGAAGCGAGCAAAATGCGGATATTGTCCACATCAAACTAATGAGAAACAACACGTTTGTGACTGTGACCGATTCGAAAGGGAATAAGAAAATGGGGGCGAGTGCGGGATGTTTGGCGGAAATGAAAGGCGGGCCCAAGGTTTCGAAATATGCGGCTGAAGCGACGGCTGAACATGTGGGACGCGTGGCGAAAAGTATGGGGTTGAAATCGGTTGTTGTGAAGGTTAATGGGTTTACTTTTTTTAAGAGGAAGAAGTTGGCGATTTTGGGGTTTAGAGATGGGTATACGCATTCAAGATCTGATAGGAATCCGATTGTGTATATTGAGGATACGACTAGAAAGCCACATAATGGGTGTAGGCTAAGGAAACAACGACGTGTGTGAGGTGTTTGTGTTTTTTGTGTTGATTGGAATTTTGATTTAGCATCGATGTGGTGTTTTTCTTTTGAGATGTTTTTTGTGTAATAATTATGAGTTTGATGCAAATTTCTAATGCAAGATTTTACTCTTTAGGAGAAATTTTGACTTAAATTGATTGGTCACTATGTATATTTTATTCTTTTATTTATTTTAGAAGTTCAAATACTCTTTTTAAAAAACTCTATTTTGTGACCGTATAAGCTAATAAATTTTACTTTTTAGGAGAAATTTTGACTTGAATGAATGGTGACTTTATGTATATTTTATTTTTTTTATTTATTTTAGAAGTTCAAATATTTTTTTTTGAAAAAAAACTCTATTTTGTGACGGTATAAGTAATAAACATTTTTACACAAAAATATAAGTTGTTTTAAAAATGGTTATTATATTTTATAACAACAAAATCAGGAAATAAATCAATTATTCTTCATCGTATACTTTCTTTTCCCGCAATATATCAATTTACTGTTAAAATATGATATATATCAATTATACTAGATGGTATAGATCCCATAAAATCAGGAAATAAATTATCTTCAACTCCTCAACTTAATCCCAGTAAATCACGATTCAAATCTTATCTAATTTTGAATCCGATAATGAGACTATATAAACGAATTTTAATCTTTAAATTCACGTCAAATGATTTTGTTTCTGGTCGATTTCATACAACTAGGGTTCATCAATATTAATAAGGTTAGTGTAGTTTTAATGTTTGGTTATTTTTTCAGTTTGATGTTTTTATGGTTTATTTTTCTTTACATGTTACATGTTAAAGCTTCTGTTTCAAGTCCGTTTCATTCAAGCATTGTTAATCAGTTTGGAGGTGATTTTTTTAGAGTTCCATCTTTGTACTTTTTCTAAGTTTTGATAAAAGGAAAAAATCAGCATATTGCTCAATAAATTCATACAAAAGTAAAAACATAAGATGGTTGTTAAACATATACAGATCAAGGGCATTTTAGTAATTTGACTGTTCATGTTACCTATGTATTTGTTTGTATGTAATGACAGTATGACACACAATTAGGATACACATAACTGGAGAAAAAAATGGTAAGAATGACCCATTTGACCAAAAATGTCAAAATGGTCATTTTAATTTCTGTTTCAGTGTTTTGATATTGGTATAAGTTTTTTTTTATTTTTTATTTTTTTTAAGTGGTTCAAATAACAAACAAGGTCTAAACTGTAAATTTTTACCAAAACAAACTTATATTTGTTATAAGATTTTCTTAACAAATATGATCCATCTCCACTTTTAAATCAACTACAAACAACCCCCCAACTGGTGGGGGAATTTTTAGTCATCCAGGGATACATCCGGGATATGAAGATTGACAGGGTTTTCACTTTTACCCCTTAACTTTCTCATAATGATAAAAACGGCCCTCAAAACCAAGAACTTATAATTTTAAGTTTCTAAAGTTACCCCTTTTAATCCCTCACCTAAAATATATTTCTTTTTAGGTTACATAATTTTTTTTAAATATTATTTAATTTCTTTAAATCTTTTATAACTCCTTTTTGTTTATTTAACTTATTTATTTCTTTTTTGTTCAGTTTTAAGCCGTCAAAATGACCAAATTGACTAAAAAGGTAAAAATAGTTATTTTCACAAAAAATCCTTTATACTTTCTATTTTCAAAATTTCATGTCATTATAAGGTTTATTTTTTGTTCGGATTTAAGTGCTACAAATAATCAAAACATTAGCAAAAATGGTGAAAATTACCAAATTGACCAAAAAAGGTCAAAATGGTCATTTTAACTAAATAAAACTCTACTTTCTGTTTGAGTGTTTCATATATAACGTTCTTTTTTTTTTCTGTTTATTTTTAAGTGGTCCAAATGGCCAAATTAACCGAAAAGGTCAAAACTGTAAATTTTTACCAAAGAAAATTATACTTCTTTTTGTAAGAGTTTTTTTTTTTTTTTTTTTTTTTTTGGTTCAGTTTTAAATCGTTGACAATTTCAAAATTTCATATCATTGTAAGGTTCTTTTTTGTTCGGTTTTAAGTGCTACAAATGATCAAAACATTAGAATATGTAATTAGCAAAAATAATGAAAATGACCAAAGTGACCAAAAAGGCAAAAATGGTTATTTTCACAAAAAAAATTTCTATGTTCTGTTTTCAAATTTTCATATCATTTTAAGGCTCTTTTTGTTCCGTTTTAACTGCTACAAATGACTAAAACATTAGAACTTATAATATTTATAATCGTATAATGTATAGCTGTATGATTGTATGTAATATGTATAATTGTAAAATGTACATGTATCAAATTATCAATGTATATAATCATGTGATCACTGATTCACTTATCAGTTTTAATAGTTAAAGTGGTATGCTTATGACTTTATATTGCATGTCTGCATGATCAATGTTGAAGTTTAACTTTATAATTGTATATATATCTAATATCTTGTATAGTTTGTTGCTGACTTACTGTATGTATATGATTATGTGTATGTAATATTACGCTTTTTAAAACCAAACTTCTATTTATTGTGAGATAGATTCCTATGTTTTATTCCATGCCAAGTTGCGAAGTGATTGGTTATGCATTACACTTTCTTCTTACTATACGCATATTATTTATTGAGGGAACTATTGCAAGTATCTACATTATCCTAAAATACTAGAGAAAGTATGACACGTAATTATTATATAATAATATAAAATGTATTATTTGCAGAATTCTTCAGTTGCAATCATGCAAGGGGCTCTGGTGCAATCTTCCACCTTTCCTTGGGCAGTTTCCAATAAAAGCAAGATCCATTCAAAGCAATCTGGAAATACAAAAAGACAAGTCAAGATGATGTGCACCTTACAAACTCCTCCATTAACGAAAGCTACGACTTTCTCTGGTTTAGACACCATGGTCAACAGAAGCGATGATTTCCATACCTCAGTTAGGAGAGAAATGTCCATGATTTAGACAATACCCTTTACAGAGGACGCTAAAAAAGTTATTAAGTTTGCACAAGAGGAGGCAAGACAACCTGGACACAATTTCGTGGGTGCAGAGGTAATTTTATTAGGTCTTATTGGCGACTTCAACAAAGTATCTAATGAAGAAGACGTTGACATATCAGCAAAGGTCTTCAAATCAATAGGGATTTTTTTAAAAGATGCACGTCCTGAGGTAGAAGAAATAATCGGAAGTGGTAGTGGAAATGTATGCGATGTCATTCCATTTACACCACGTGCAAAACATGTATTAGAATCCTCACAAGAGGAGGCCCAACAACTTGGTAATTAATTAACGCTAAAACAATATTTTTGTTGTCGAAACGTTAATAAAGTTAATTTAATTTAATTAGTACTATGGCTTTATTTTTATTTTTTCAGGTCGTAATTATATTGGATCCGAGCATTTGCTTCTTGGGTTGCTTCGTGTGGATGGAGGTGTAAATCATGTTCTTAGGAAGTTAGGTGTATCCCTAAATGACATTGGCACAAAGGCAAGTCTAGGTGTCCAAGTTAACAACTTAACATATATTTCGTATGAAAAAAAAAAAGACCCTTTATGTGAAATCTTGAACTCTTTGAGTAGGTGATGGAAATGGTTGAGAGTCCAAAAGCTGTTAATGATTTGATCTTTGACAACAAGATGCCAATTCATGAGGAATATGGTATTGACTTAACAAAGCTAGCAAAAGAGGTAACTTGTGTCCAATATATATATATATATATATATATATATATATATATATATATGCATGTGATTTACCATTGAAGTGTGTTTCTGTTAGAATTAGTTTATTACATTTTTCAGGGAAAGCTGGATGTTCTTCTTCGAAGGCAATCACAATCAGAAATAAAAAGAGTTACTGAAATTTTGGGAAGGCTTACAAAAAACAACCCATGCCTTGTTGGAGAACATGATGTTAGAAAGACATCTATTGTAGAAAGCCTCGCCGAAAGTATTTCATACTATAATAACGTTCCAGATTGTCTCAAGGATAAGAAGGTGTGTTGTAAGTATTCAGTTAGTTATAGTTAGTTATGCTCATGGGCTTTTTAGTAACTATGCATGTACACTTTAGTCGATAAATGCATAGAAAATTCTTTATTCTTGCTTTCGTATTCCATTACATGAATTTATGCAAGTAATAATATGAGACAGTATGATGGGTCTTGCGTTGGGAGAAGGGTTGTGAACACAAGATTTTAGTGAAGAGAGTTTGAAGTTTCATTTTTGTGTTACTTTTTCTTTTTAGATAAAAGGGTCATTTGAAATTTACGATCTTGTTTTTCAGGTGATTAGTGTAAACATGCGTCAATTTGGTCATGGAGAGAGGCAGGAGAAACTAAAGAAGCTAATTGAGGAAATCAAGGAAAGTGGTGAAATTATTCTCTTTATTGAAGAGATCCATACAGGAATTGGAGTAGAGGGGCCTATTGGTGTTGCTAACATCTTGAAGCAAGCTCTTGTTAGAGGTGAATTACAGGTAAGTAAGACCTAATGTAAGCATTATATGATACTTGCTAGAGATGAACTACACATGATATGTTTGGTTGCCAAATGGACACTCCTTCAAATTTCATGTTTAACAGATTTCACGATTCAAAGAAATTCGATTCCATATGTAATAATAAAACTTGAAATATTTTTTGTACGTATTTTTGTTTTTCTTGTAGTGTATTGGAGCAACAACCCCCGATGAGTACCAAAAACTCATTGAGAAGGACCCAACATTTGAGAAACTATTCCAGCCTGTAAAAGTGCCCGATCCAACATTTGATGAAACCTTAAGTATTTTATTTTGGCATCTTGGAAGGTATAAGAATCACCACAAGGTCCGTTACACTTATGAAGCATTAGAAGCTGCTTGTAATATGTCCTGTGACTCGATAAGGTATATATGTCAATCTATCTATCTAGTGCATATATATTATCATTGGTTAATTATTACAACTTCAACAAACATAAACTACTCATATAATACTTTTCTTTTTCATGTATATATCCATATATAGTAACCGCTTTCATCCCGGAAAGGCTATTGATTTAATCGATGAAGCCGGTTCATTTGTTGGTGACGATGAAGAAGGACTAGTAGGTCTAACCTACCTTGAGCTTCTAAAAGAGCTTAAATGGATGAAAGAGGTTATGCTAAAAACAAAAGAGGACATGGATGCATTTGGTGATAAGGACTTTAAAAAGGTATATATCTTATCTTATTTTAATTTTCTTGGCTTTTGTTAACTAAATTTGATAATTTACTCTCAACAGGCTAACAAGTTATGGGACAAGGGAATTGATCATAAGATTCACATGTTGGAGATTGAGGAAAGAATCAAGGAGATTAATAATGTCGTATGGGAGGGTGTTACCATAACCAAAGCAGACATTGAAGCTATCGCCAATATGCACTTTTGTTAAAACCGATTATTTGGTTGTGAATATTTGGTATTGGGAGTTTAATGTTTGCAGTTTTTACATGGAACATCTATTCTAATAAATAAAACCTATTTTTATCACTTGTCAATTTCTACTTCAATATGCCACATATAAATTTGTTGTTGTTTTTATTATTATAAAAAAATCTAGATGTCAATTTGTTGTGTTTTGTAATTAATTGATTTACTTAATGTTTTAGTTCCATTATAAATCCGTATTAAAGAAAATTTCCTATGTTGCCGTTTCTTTTGTTGATATTACACATTTTAATTTCCTATGTTGCCGTTTCTTTTGTTGATATTACGCATTTTATCATATATTCGCATTCTATCTACACCCTTTTTAACTACTAATCACATATCCTTTCCTAATTAATTGATTATTTCTTTTATGGTATATATCAATTTACCATAACCCCCATTGGTGCAATCATACAAAGCTTTGTAAATCCGTTCAATATGCTGTACCTTGTTGTTATAGGAAAAGAACCAGAAACTATGTTTTTATTAAGTGTAAAAAGGTAAGTATGTTGATATATTATAGGTTAGATATTGCTATGATCCTTAACATACATATTTTTGGGGACCTGATATTTCCACTGAATTATTTTCTCCATGCACTTGAAATTAAAGCATTTTGACCTTTTTGCCCTTGTCCTTATTGATAGTTTATAAAAAATATGAAATAGAGATAAATGGGTTAATATGCTGCCGCTGTTATCCTTAATCACATATCGCCTGTATCACCATTCACTTTTACCATACCTCTCTTTCAGCTGATTATCTTCTACATCTCAACCACAACCTCCAAAAAAAAAAACACTAAAACGGTGTTATTAACAATACAGTAATACTATGAAGAAACCCACTTTCTTCATAGTGCTTTGGGTTTTCATCCCAAAATGGGTAATACACCACCGGCAAAATCCTAATTATCCGACAATTTCATTTTTGTTTGAAGCATTAATATACAGCTACAATAGATGATGCACGAACAAAATGAACCAAATCAAAGGGATGACACATGTGACATGTGATGGAGGAAAGAACACAGAGCACTAGGTAGAAGCACAAATGTCAAAATTAGTTGTCGATAGGAGATGTCTAACCACAGATCGTCTGCATCACCATTCACCTTTACCGTATCTCTCTTTCGGTCGATCATCTTCTACATCCCAGCCACCATCACTATCGCAAATATTAATCACCATCGTCTTCTTTGAGAAGCCTTCATCAACAGGTTCCCTGTTCAGTCCATTCACGCCATCAAGAAGCGAAGCAAAGATGAAGATATAGACCTGCACACACAGCAAGAGCATATGTCGGGGGTGGGTCTCGGTTTTATTGAGGTGTATTCTGATCCTGGGAATCGATTCAGAAGGGAGGCAGGCGAATTGGAAGAAGCAACGGCGACCGGTGAACGGAAAAGAAGCAGCGTGTCCTGCTTCTTGAACGGCCACAAGAAATCGGGGTTTCGGCAAAAGTTTTTTTTTTTTTTTTTTTTTTTTTT